GGAATGACCCTGACGCTGATGCCCAACTGCTGGAGGAGCTTCGGCTATTTTCAACGCGACCGACTACTCTCATCGTTGGAGATTGTAATGCACCTCACATAAACTGGAGATCGGCCTCAGCCGACTGCTCTGAAGCAGCATTCGACCAGCAGTTACTGCGTACCTCCGACAATCTGCCTCTCACCCAACACATAATGTTTCCAACGAGAGTTTGAGAGGGCCAGAAAATGAATTGCCTTGATCTAGTGTTCATCAAGTACTCTGACAATATCGACGTTGTGTATTGCCTCCCCCCGTTGGGTCACAGTGACCATGTAGTTCTCATGTGGGATACACCTTATTCTCGCTGCCTGCACAACCGCTCGATTCCCGACCCAATATTTGGCGCGGAGATTTCGAACAGATGAGAAGGGATCTTAGTCCTATCGACTGGGCATCCACTCTATCCGGTTTGGTGTCAGTTCGAAGAGTTAGTCCACAACCTCATCTCCAACCATTGCCCAATCATGCACAGAAGACTAACAAATAGACCCCGCTGGCTGACTCCGTCCTCAAAGAAGGAAGGTAACAAGAAGAAGCTGTGGAAAAGATCCCTGACTGACCGGACGCCAGAATCCCTAAGCAATTATAAGTTACAGAGAAATCGGGTCAAAATTTTCATCGCCAGAGATCGGAAAGCCTTTGAAAAGGATCTTCTGAACCGTGCCAGGATTAATCCCAAAATCCTCTACAGCTACATAAGACAGCGCACGCGGAACAAAGACCCCATCCCACTGCTGCGAACAGCCGAGGGAATTGAAATCTCCGATGAAAAGGATAAGGCTGAACTCCTCTCTCAGTTCTTCCGGTCCATCGTGACAAATGAACCTGATTTTTTCTCCTCCATTTGTGAAGACGAAGAAACGCCTACCCTTGAAGCCGTGCGTCTGCGAATAACTACAGGCCAGTTAGGCTTAGCTCCATCTGTTGCAAAATAATGAAAAAGGTCATTAAGAAGGCCTTGATGCAGCTTCTCGAGCAGCACCACCTCCTCTCGGATACACAACACGGCTTTCGAAGTGGTAGGTCCTGCCTCACGAATCTGCTCTTTACGCTCGAACGCTGGACCAAAGCACGCGATGAAGGTATTGTGGTGCACGCCATCTACAACGACTTCAAAAAAGCCTTCGACAACGTTCCCCACCAACCTCTCTTGCACAAACTGCGCAACGTTGGAATTTGTGGACGCCTTCTTATATGGATCCAGAGCTTTTTGACTGGACGGTCCCAAAGAGTGCAGGTCGGGCGTCAACAGTCCTCAGAGGTAAGCGTGGTGAGTGGCGTCCCACAGGGCTCAGACTTAGGTCCCACGTTATTCCTCGTTTTCATAAATGACTGCGTCAAGGACTTAGACTGTAATACCATCCTGTTTGCCGATGACATTAAATTGTGAAAAGTTAATCACAATGCGGCAGACGCAGACCACCTGCAAGCAAACCTGAACAGACTCGAAGACTGGTCGAAGCGCTGGCTTTTGCCCTTCAATATATGCAAGTGCAACTTTCTTCAACTAGGCAGCTTCAGAGCCTCCAGCCCCAGGACTTACTTTCTAGAAGGCACACCACTGCAACAGGTTGACAGTCAGAAGGACCTGGGTGTATGGATTACATCTTCACTCAAACCAACACTGCACTGCGCGAAGGCGGCTAAATCGGCTTTGGCTACACTGCAAAGCATTAAGCGAGCACTTATGGAATTTGACCCAAATAGCTTTTCAAAAATATTTGGCACCTACGTGAGGCCTCATTTAGAATACGCCATACAGGCGTGGAGACCTTGGACTGCCAAGGACTATACCGTTTTGGAGAAGGTCCAGAGACGGGCGACCAAAATGACACAAGGTCTGGGAGAGCTGTCCTACGAATCCCTACTGTCAACCCTCAACCTGTTTCCACTTTCCTACAGGCAACTACGTGATGACCTTATACTTTCATTTCGCATTATCAACGGCCTAGACTGTTGTTTAGATCCCACTGATTATTTCACACAAGCTAACACGCCCACTTTGCGCGGTCATCCCCTAAAACTACGCGCCGGGAAAGCAAGGATCAATGGAAGAAAGTTCTTTTTCAGTCACCGAGTGGTTACAGCGTGGAAAGCCCTGCTCACCGATGTTGCAACCTCCTCCTGTGTGAATTCCTTTAAGCTTAGACTTGACGCGCATTAAGCCTCCCAGTTACCAGCCTTACATCCACTCACATAACCCGGCACCAATTTAACCTTGTTTATATTACTTGTAACTAGTTAGTAACCGTTACTGATTACCCGTTTTTGACTAACTGTCAGCGATTATGTACAAAACCACTTTTTCACCTTCACACTATCAATGTTTTTCTCAGACGACTTGTAACCAATAGGAAGTTCAACGGCGCTCGCCTATATTTCACATAATAAACTGAAACTGAAAACCGTCCTCGTTGATGAAACTGACAAGGCGGAGTTGTTTAGTGCTTTCTTTGCAAAACACCTTGCTACCGAGTCCGATCCGGTCCCTTTCTTTCGATCAATTTCAGATAGGACACTGAGTACAATCGATGTTTTCTCAGATCTCATTAAGAAACACATAAGCCGTTAGAAATACTCACACTGCTCTGGAACGGACGTGATTCCGAATTCAATTATTTAACAAGCGTCCGACCTTCCCATATTGCTTAGTCATTTATTCTCGGTTTATATTTCAAAAGAATTCTTTCCTGAAACATGGAAAACGTCAACTATCATCCCCATCTTCAAGTCTGCATCTCGGTGCGATGTTAATAACTATCGGGGCGTGCACAAAACGCCGTCCCTAGCAAAGCTTCTTGCAAAGATTATTTTCAATGAAATTACTGACTTCTGTCTAGCTAATCGGCTCCTACGATCTAGTCGGCATGGATCTTTACCTGACTGATCACTTCTCTTCGTAATGAGCGGCAGTCAGTGGTAGTGATCGTCTTTGATCTTAGAAAAGTTTTTGATAAGGTGTCCCATAGACGTCTTCTAGTAAAATTGGAAGCTCTCGGCATCCGGCCGCCTCTACTCGACTTCATCAGGTCCTATCTGTCCAACCGATATCAGAAAGTCATGGTCGATAATAGCTTCTCTACACCCCACTCGATCACGAGTGGTGCACTTCAAGGCACGGTTCTGGGTCCGCTACTCTTCCTTCTGTACATCAATGATATTTCGACTGAACTCGGAAATTCGCAAACTTTTACTTATGCCGATCACCTCAAGTGCGTTTACTCATACTCTAACGACACCACAAACGTTTGTGTTGAAAAAATTAATGCAGATTTACTACGCTTAAGCAGATGGGGTCCGACATGGCAGATGAAGTTTTCAGCATCCAAGTGTACTTTCATGTCTTTTGGTCCTGCCAAACTATCTAATGCCATTATTTTTCAGAATAACCCACTCTCAGAATACCTCACCATAAAGGACCAAGGTCTAAGGTATAAAAATAAGCATGCTTTATCACCTCATGCAGGTAGAATCTCTGCCAAAGCCGCGCAGATATGTGGATTCATATCGCATAATTTTTTCCTTCCAGAAATGAAGCTAAGACTTTATCAAATGTTTGTTCTTCCAGTCCTCGAATACTATTGTCCTTTCTTCGGTTTAATGAACGCCTGTGACCGTAATAAAATTGAAAATGTTCAGAGGGTTTTCACCCGGAAACTGTTCACCAAACTTTGTCCGGTATTTCTTATAGTCAGAGGTGTCAGCTGACGAACATTAGGTTTTGTGGGTTAGAAGACTCGAAGTTGGCCTCTGCTTCCTTTTTCGCATCAACTCTAGCTCTTCTCTTCCGCCCATTGACACTCTCACTCCGAGAGATCGCTGTTGTGTCACGCGCAACTCCTCCATGGTGATTTCGCCGCCGTCTCTTTGCACTACATCTAAGCGCTCCCTCTTCTTTGCTTTTAAATATGCTTTCCTTTGGAATAATCTTCCGCCTGAAATTAGGTCATCGCGTAAGTTACTGGTATTAAAGTAGAAATTACGCAAACATCTTACACCGAAAACATAAAGGCACTTTTAGCGGTTTCACTCCCGAACACTCAGATTCTTGATTTCGAGAAGGGTCCTCCTGGGATTTAGTGGTAGACCAAGTGGTTACTCTCACTTGTATCTTTACAATCCCCTCTTATTAACTGGTTTCTAAATTCAGAGCTACCAGTTCTCCCCCACAGCGACAATTTTCGCGTTTTTTGATGTCATCTTCCGCATTCCGACCTCATGCAGTCTGTCGACGCTCACGGCTGAACCCACAGCATTCGCCATCTACTAGTATTTTGGTCGTGCCTCCCTTCCCCACTCCTCGGCTGGCCTCGAAGCGTACTGTGGTCGATCGCGTCTGCGTTCCTCTCGTCTGGCCCCCTGGACGCGAATCGTCTCATGGGGCGTATCAATCCGGCCCAGACGATGTCCGTTGTGAATCCCGTATACAATGCCACATGCACGCCAGTCCTGTCTGACCCACATACGTACCGCTCAAGGCTGACATTTATTGCTGCCCTGACGATGTCCAACTATAATCCGTTATATACCGCCACATACAGGCCAGTCCTGCCCGCATTTTTCTGCCATTATTTTTTATTGAGGGGTTTTTTTCTCCTGTAAAATTAATCCAATCATTTTTAAATTTTTGTATGGGGTTTTTTTCATCCCTCACTAATCATTTTTCTCAACGAACTATTAATTCAGAAACTATGAGTTTCATTTTGTACAGATTCTGCCTACCTCGTCTAAAATTCGCATGTAAATTTACTTTTACTTGCTTTGATGGGACCCCGAGGGGTCTTTAATAAAAAAATATTATTATTTTTATTACTCTACCTTCGTGAATTTGACGAAAGCCTTCGATGCGGTTTATCTTGAAGGACTGTTGAAAATCAGTGAAAAATTCGGCTGTCCATAGCGATTGACTGAGATGGTTCAGCAGCTCCACGATGGCATGATGACGCGCGGCACGGATAATGGAACTGTCCAGAGGCACCTGCAGTGACCAACGGAGTGGAGCAGGGCTTCGTCTTCGGTCCACCCTCTTCAGTCTCATGTTCTTTGCCATGCTGATGGGCGCCTGCCGTGATGGACGCCCCGAGGTCCGCATCGCCTGCAGGACGGACAGCCATCTTCTCAACAACAGGCGGATTCACTTACAGTCTCTCGTATCCACAACCACCGTCAACGAACATCTCTCCGCCAACAACTGCACCCTCAACGCCATCTCGGAAGAGGACATGCAAAGGAGGATGTACCTCTTCTCCGCCGCCTGCGAGAATCTCGGACTGGCTATCAGCACGAAGAAAACATTGGTTATGCACCAATCGCCACCGAACACAGCCCACAATGCGTTGCAAATCAGCGTTAACGGAACCTAACTGCAAGTGATGGACAACTTCACGTGTCTGGGCAATACCCTATTCCGCAACACAAAAAACAACGGCGAGGTGGGCCGCTGAATTTCAAAAACCAGGAAAGAACTTGGTCGTCTTCAAAACACAGTTTGGGATCGTCATTGTCTTCAGCTTAGCACGAAACTGAAGGTGTATAAGGTCGTCATCCTCCTGACGTTGCAGTGTGAAGCACAGACTTGTACGGTGTATGTGGAGCAGGCGCGGAGACTCAACCACTTTCACCCCAGTTGTCTTTGTCGAATACTGAAGCTGAGGTGGCAGAACCAAATTCCGAACACTAATGTACTGGAACGGACGGAAATTCTCAGTGTCTACGCCCTGCGGAGACAACTTTATCTGCGCTGGAGCGGCCATCTCGTGCGCATGGACGACGAGCGACTTCCAAAACGACTCCTCTATGGAGACGTCTCGACGGGTTCACGTCGACAATGAGGTAGAGTTCGGCGCTACAAAGATACTCTGAAAACCTCCTTGAAGCGTCTGCAGATCAATTCGGCCAACTGAGAAGACCTCGTCCAACTCAGCTGTCTCCTACAGATATTGAAGCTAGGGTGACAGGACCGAATCCCGACAGTGACGTACTGGAACAGACGGGAATCCTCAGCATCTACGCCTTGCTGAGACAACTACAACTGCGTTGCAGCGGTCACCTCCTGCGGATAAACAACGAACGGCTACTTAAACGACTCTTCTGCGGAGATGTCGCCACGGGTTCCCGCCGCCCATGAGGCCAAATCCGCCCATACAATGACAATCTGAAATCCTCTCGTTCAGCTGAGAAGACCTCGTTCAAGATCCACTGAGATGGAGGAGGACAGCGAAGACACAGGCTGCGATCTACGAAGCCAACCGACGCCGCCGCGAAAGCCAAATGAGAAGCCCGCAAATCTCGGCTGCGCCCACCGCGCAACGCCAACGCCTAACCGTCCCCAACGTGTCTACGGTGTCAGCGGACACTCTGGGCGCCGATTAGACGTGCTGGACATCTTCGGGCCACCTGCAACGCTCGGACTGCACGAGCCGTCTTCTCTCCGTTCACCTTTCCCTCGCCTTCTATGCCGTCAGCTATCTCTGACAGCCCTCCCGAACCACTTCCATTCTCCTCCTCTTCCTCCTTCTCCTCCTCCTCCTCCTCCGCCTCCACCACCACCACCACCACCATAACCACCACCTCCTCCACCTCCGCTGCCTCAGAGTCTGCCGTTGCGGCGTCTGCCATGCACATCAACATCACGCACAACCCTGCCACACCAACAAACATCAACACGCCACCATCGACACCAGTGATGAGGGCTAGGACTACACCTGCCCTCACTGCGACCGAGGCTTCACCTCACATGTCGACCTGGTCGGTCACTTTCGAATCCATCTTACAGAGACTGGCGAACCAGTGCCTATGGGCCTATTCGGTCACATGCGCATTCACGAAAACCTGCGGTAGACAACCTCCGGCTGGCATAAACCCACGACATTCTTCCTCACCAGCATCTCATCAGACATCAGCATCACCCACCACATGCATCGAATCGAATCCCCCAGCGCGAGTGGGAAGTGTGCGCCCCGACACGGTATACGTGCAGATCCTGTCGATGGGCGACCCGAGCCGCGTCAAGGGCCGCAGATTGGAGGACTGCTGACTGGCACCATAGCTCAATTCACGCAGTCCTTCCAGTCATATGTGTGTTTGTGTGAAGTGGTCCGCTGGTGGTCTGAAAGTCGGGCTGCAACGGCTACTTATTAGTGAGGTCATTATGACACACTCACTGTGTGGGTTCCGAGCCGGATGTAGGCGATATGCCTGGTTGTGGATTCGATCGTGCAAGCCTCCATTATCTGCTGTTGTTGTTGGTCAAAAACCTGGTTATTCGTTGTGCGGACGAGGGGGTGTGGAGTGGAAAGCATAAGTGCGAGCTCGACCGTGCCATCCACCTGCACCTTCCAAAGTCTCAGGTCTCATTGACTCCGTCTTCACACCGGGTCCAGGTGGGGGAGGGGGGAGAGCGTGGCAAACGCAGCGCAAGCCTTCTCTCATTATAGATCCCGCGCAAATCACCGTCCCTGCTCTCACCCTGCTGTGGAGTATACGGTGGAAATCGTCGCATGCGACGACAGAAATATCGTGCGTGTGTGTGTGTGTGCTGCCTGGAGAGGAGTGCTGGGTGCCCATGGTCTCCGCGGCTCAAACGACAACGGCCTGCTGCTTATCTGCACCTGCGCAGAACATCGCCTCATCCTGATGAGCACCTTCTTCTGTCTGCTGGAGCGAGAGGAGGTTACCTGGAGGCATCCTCGGTCGCGTCAGTGGCACCTGCTGGACTATGTCCTCGTCCGGAGGCGAGATCAGCGGGACGCGCTGGTGACAAGGGCGATCGCGGATGCTGACGGGTGGACCGACCATGGCCTCGTCATCTCGAAGATGCGTATTCGCCTAGAGCCTCGCGGGATACCACAAGGTAAGCGACTTCCAAGTACGCTGAATATTGCGTTGTTGTCTTTGCCCGCTCACCATCTCCATTTCAGCAGTAAACTAACTCAACGGATAGACAACCTTCCAGTCGCTGCCGCCGCCTCCGCCGCCGCTGCCGAGAACGCCTCCATGGAGAACCGATGGTGACAACCGCGAGACACGGTCCAGTCAACGGCGCAAACCGTCTTCGGTCGCGCACGCCGCCAATACCAGGACTGGTTCGATGACAACGACGCTGCCATCAGCAATCTGCTCGCCGAGATGAACCGCCTGCACAAAGTCTACGCAGACCACTCCACTGACGACAACAAAGCTGCTTTCTACCGCGGTCACAGCCACCTTCAGAAACGACTGCGCGAGATGCAGAACGCCAGGACTGCTCGAAAGGAATGGAAGAACTTCTTCTCTGCGATCAAAGCTGTCTACGGTCCGCCGACGAAGGACACTGCCCCTCTCCTCAGCGCTAACGGTATTACCCTCTTGAGCGAGAAGACGCTAATTCTACAGCGATGGACCGAGCATTTCCGAGGTGTCCTCAACCGACCCTCCGCCATGTCCGACGCCGCCATCGCCCGCTTGCCGCAAATGGAGATCAATGTTGACATCGACCTCCTACCATCTCTTCAGGAAACCATCAGGGCCGCGCAGCAGCTCTCCAGCGGGAAAGCACCCGGATCGGACGCAATCCCTGCTGAGGTTTACAAACACGGAGGTCCCCTACTGATGAATCACCTAACTGCGCTCTTCCAGGAGATGTGGCGTCAAGGTGAAGTCCCGCAAGATTTTAAGGACGCAACAAGCGTGGATCTCTACAAGCGAAAAGGGAACCGCCAAGTCTGTGACAATCACCGAGGCATCTCCTTGCTGAACATCGCCGGGAAGATCTTCGTTCGCATCCTCCTCAATCGCCTGAACAACCATCTTAAACATGGTCTTCTGCCAGAAAGCCAATGCGGTTTCCGTCATCATCGCGGGACCACGGATATGATCTTCGCCGCCCGTCAACTTCAGGAGAAGTGCCAGGAGATGCGGACCCACCTGTACTCTACCTTCATGGACCTGACGAAAGCCTTCGACACGGTGAATCATGAAGGACTGCGGGAGATCATGTAGAAATTCGGCTGTCCGGAGCGATTCATCCAGATGGTGCGACAGCTGCACGACGGTATTATGGCGCGAGTCACGGACAACGGAGCTATTTTAGAGGCATTCGCAGTGACCAACGGAGTGAAGCAGGGATGCGTGCTGGCACCAACCCTCTTCAGTCTTATGTTCTCTGCCATGCTGATAAACGTCTACTGTGCTGAACGCCCCGGGGTCCGCGTAGCCTACAGGACGGACGGTCACCGCCTGAATCAACGACGGATGCACTACCAATCACGCGTATCCACAACCACCGTTCACGAACTTCTCTTCGCCGACGACTACCCCCTGAACAACACCTCGGAATAGGAGATGTAATGTAGCATGGACCTCTTCTCTGCCGCCGGCGAGAACTTCGGTCTGGTCATCAACACGCAGAAGCCGGCGGTCATGCATCAACCGTAAACCAACACAGCCACTCCCCCCAACGGGCTGCAAATCGGTGTGAACAGCACCCAAATGCAAGTGGTGGAGAGCCTCCCGTACATGGGTAGCATCCTCTCGCGTACCACCAAAATTGATGACGAAATCGTCCACACGATTTCGAAAGCCAGTCAAGCATTCTGTCGCCTCCAAAGTACAGTTTCGAATGGTCATGGTCTCCAACTGAGCAAAAGCTGAAGATGTACAAGGACGCTATCCTGCCGACGCTGCTGTACGGAGAGGACCCTTGGACAGTGTACACAAAGCAGGCCCGCCGACTGAACCACTTCAACTCAATTGTCTCCGTCACATCCTAAGGCTGAGCTTGCAGGACCTAACTGATGTTCTGGAACGAACAGGAATCCTCAGCATCTACATCATGCTGAGACAAATGCAGCTGCGATGGAGCGGCCACCTGGTGCGTATGGACGACGAGCGACCGCCCAAACGACTCTTCTACGGAGACGTCGCAACGGTCTCTCGTCGCCAAAAAGACCAAATTCACCAACACAAGCATACTCTGAGGTCCTCCCTGAAGCGTCTGCAAATAAACCCGTCCAACTAAGAAGAACTCACCCGCTATCGACCAACCTGGAGGACGACAGTGAAAACAGGCGCTGCGATCTACGAAGATAATCGCATCGCCGCCGGCAAAGCGAAACGCGAAGCACGCAAATCACAGATGCGCCCACTTCGCAACGACAATGCACAACCGCTTCCAACGTGTCCTCGATGTCAACGGACATTCCGGGCTCGAATCGGACTTGTTGGACATCTTCGGATCAACTGTATCTCTAGGACCGCACCAACCGCCGTCCCCCGCCCGCCTCTTCCTCGTCCTCTCCGCCGCCCCCTAACTCTGACAATTCTTCTGAACCACCACTTCCATCCTCCTTCTCCTCCTCCTCTTCCTACACTGCCCTAACGACAAACGCTCAGCGAACGTCCTGCACATCACCAACCCTGACACAAAAACCGACACCACTCCCACTTCCTCCGATTCCAGCGATGAGGATCAGGACTACACCTGCCCACACTGTTCACGCACATTCACCTCTCGCATCGGCCTCGTCGGTCACTTGCGGATCCGTCGCACAGAGACTGGCGAACCAATGCCTGGAGCACCAACCTATATCCACCACACTCGACTCAACTGCCCACATTGTCCTCGCACCTTCACGCATCGCATGGGTCTTTTCGGGCACACTCGAGTCCACGAGAGCGGAATTGACCGCAATTCCGACACACCCACCATATCCAACACATCCGCCATGCCCAGCCCCACACTCGCTTCATCGCCCTGAGCGCCCATTACCACAACCACGACCACAACCACAACCACCACCACCATCACCACCACCACCACCATCACCACAAACACCACCACCGCCTCCTCTGTAGCTGACACCGACACCGCCGAATTCTCATGCCCACATTGTCCACGCACGTTCACGTCACGCATCGGCCTGATCGAGCACTTGCGAATCCATCGCACAGAGACTGGAGAACCAGTGCCTGGAGCACCAACCTATACCCACTACGATCGTCTCAACTGCCCACACTCTCCCACCACACTCCCACACACACCCATCGCGTGGGCCTATTCGCCCACATGCGCATCCACGACGACCTGCGGTAGACAGCCGCCGGCTACACCCCACCACACCACACAACCGCCCTGCCTCCTCCTCCACAACCACCACCCCAGGCGCACGTAACGCAGCAACCATGGACAGTCGACCATGACAGCCACCGCGCCCACTCCCCACTCCAGTATGCTGACCGGCTGGGAGAGCGGTTGGGGTGTTGGAATGGGAAGGGAGAGTGAGTTCGACGACTCAGTGCACTTTCCTCACCATAAACAATCTGATGCGCTTGAGGATATCACGGTGCGCTAAAAGCCGTGGCTTGGAAGGTTGCCAACTGACGGGCTAACTTGGACCTCCACCTGTACTTGTGGTGGTCAGAGAGTCAGGCTGCAATGGCTCCTTATAGCCTCGTCACGACGGTGCCGACGCAGTGTTCCATCCGACCAACTATCCAGCAATTTCCGCAATACCCTGTGCACGAGGTACCACGCGCACCGGGAGTATTAGTCCTTACCTGGTTTAGCTCGCCGGTCAAGGCGTTTGCCCGGAGTGTGGCCGCTGATCAGAGCCCAGCTACATGGAACCACATATGAGAGTTGGGTGCCAACAAATGTATGTTTGGCGTAGTCTCACCTGCAAGCAAGTGAGCGGCAACTACGACGATATCGTGAACCCATCGCCGGACACCTCTACACCCACAACACACACATCCATACAATAGGTCGTTCGTCGATTTCGACGATGTCTACCGTGTGCTCCACAGCAGCAGCAGCAGCAGCGGTGGGAACAGGTACGGTGACTTGCGCAGGGGTTTATAGTGCCAGTAGATTTGCGCTGCATCTACCTACACTCTCTCCTCCTCCCCCGCCTGAGCCCGGTGTCAAGACAGAGTCAAGAAGACCGGAGACGAGGGAGGCCGCAGGTGGATGGCTCGGACGGATCCTCACCTTGAAGCTCCACTCCGCAACCCCTGGTCCACACAACAAATGACCTGGATCTTGACGAACACAATAGAAATTTGGAGGCTGGTACGGCCGAAGCCGCACCTGGGCGTGCCGCCAGCGTCTGGCTCAGATCCCACACTGTGGTGGGTGTGCCATAAAGGCCACATTAAGAAGGAGCCATTGCAGCCTGACTCTCAGACCACCACCAGTCCAGGAGGAGGTCCAAGTTATCCCGTCAGTTGGCAACCTTCCAAGTCACGGCTTTTAGCGCACGGTGATAGCTTCAAGCGCGTCAGATTGTTTATAGTGAGGAAAGTGCGCTGAGTCGTCCAACTCACTCTCCCTTCCTCATCCCAGACCCCAAGCCACTGCCCGAGCTGGTCAGCAGGCTGGAGTGAGGATATGGTGGGTGTGTCGGAATTGCTGCCAGTTCCGCTCTCGTGGATGCGCATGTGGCCGAATAGGCCCACGCGATGCGTGAAGGTGCGAGGACAATGTGGGCAGTTGAGTCGAGTGTGGTGGATATAGGTTGGTGCTCCAGGCATTGGTTCGCCAGTCTCTGTGCGACAGATCCGCAAGTGACCGACGAGGCCGATGCGAGAGGTGAATGTGCGTGAACAGTGTGGGCAGGTGTAGTCCTGATCCTCATCGCTGGAGTCGGAGGAAGTGGGAGTGGTGTCGGTTTTTGTGTCAGGGTTGGTGATGTGCAGGACGTTCGCTGAGCGTTTGTCGTTAGGGCAGTGTAGGAAGAGGAGGAGGAGAAGGAGGATGGAAGTGGTGGTTCAGAAGAATTGTCAGAGTTAGGGGGCGGCGGAGAGGACGAGGAAGAGGCGGGCGGGGGACGGCGGTTGGTGCGGTCCTAGAGATACAGTTGATCCGAAGATGTCCAACAAGTCCGATTCGAGCCCGGAATGTCCGTTGATATCGAGGACACGTTGGAAGCGGTTGTGCATTGTCGTTGCGAAGTGGGCGCATCTGTGATTTGCGTGCTTCGCGTTTCGCTTTGCCGGCGGCGATGCGATTATCTTCGTAGATCGCAGCGCCTGTTTTCACTGTCGTCCTCCAGGTTGGTCGTTCGTGGTCAAGGTCTTCCCATTATGGAAAGAATGAGACGCGATCGCTTAAGCAAGGGCTCACTGGCCAACTGAAGTTCTGTCCGAAATCGAATGCTCTGCACTTTGTTGTCTCAAGGTCGACAATAACCTCGTTATGGTGCCTGAGGACAAGGACTGCTCCAGGGTTGTTGTTAATGTTGACAGAACAGGCCACCTTTAGAAACCAAACGTTTAATGGAAGATCGCCAGTCTTATGCTTCTTGCGTAACCAGCCCCGTATAAACATTTAAACTAGAATTCTATTTGACGTTTTTGACATCGGAACACTCGAGCGTAATATCGTCGGCTGACCAACGCATGGCAAGTGCCTAGGACACGACCTTGGCCCGCATCTATGGTCTTCCCAAGATGGTATGCCCCGGTCCATTGTATAACTCAAAGGTACGGACTGGCAAAATGGCTGTTTCGACGTCTCGAATTTCTGACTACAAATTCAGCTACTACAGTCAGTTCGTTAACACCTTTATTGGAGAAGCTTTAAGGAATAACAAGCATACACAAAATATTTTATTGGAACCAACATATTTCGCTGCTGGCGCTGCATAACAGAGATGGAGAATATAAAAGATACAAAGATTTGAATTTCCACAAAAAAACCTAATGCAAAACTGCAAGGTCACCGTTTACTGTACGCAGACTAATCAATAAAAATGGTAACTTAAAAATTCATATTGACCCAACTGTGAAAAACTCGTCGCCTCGGTGGGATCCGAACCCACACAGTAAGGGGAAGGCTTTAGTACAGTCAACGCTCTAACCATCTGAACTACGAGGTCCCGCCGGACGACGCGAGTTTAATGACATTTGGGTCAAGTTTACCCGCCCAACCTACTGCATCGTCCGGAATCCACCAAATCTGATACAGTAAGTTGACTGCCCAAGCAGGATTTCCTAAGTAATTCAGATAGAAGCCACCAGATAACTACCAGACTCACGTTATTCATAGGTATTTTGGCAGATTGTCAACACAAATTAGGAAGAAAATTGAAAAATCGCACGCAAAGAAAAGTGCTGAGATTTGCCAGGACAGGTTGGGGTTGACCACGTGGTCTCTGTTTGCATAGGTCGGGTTTCTCCCGCCGCATGCTGGCGTCCTAATAAATTCTGCCGTGCATGCGTGTTTCAAAGTCATAGCGGGAAAATATTGTTTTAGGTTAAGAGCTGAGCCTCCTGCCAAGCGATATCATGGTCTTCTTTGATGTCATGTTCCTTTTTACTTCTGTTCCACAGGACCTGGCAGCCGAGAGCATCGACCTGCTTCAGCGAGACAAATACGATGAAACGGACGCTATACCGGCATGTGGAGACACACGGCAGTGAACCGGAAGACCAGGTTGCTGAGTTAAAATACCGTCGTCGGCGAGACAAACTGCCCAGGAGTCCGCACGGATGAAGAAACCCGGTAGTCAGCAACTTGACCGCGTGGGCTATGCGTGGAAGCCGATAATCTTGACGAGCACAAAGGCGCATAGAAACTGCGTGGCTCCTGCGTATTTCAACATTTGGTCACTCGAGGCGTGATGCACTCGGGAGCTGCCAACTGTGGTAGGCATGTAGTGGCCGAGTAACTACATCCCACAAATACTGCAACACCTGGAAAATCCACTACCCCTATCTGACTCTGTCTGTGATGGTGGACTCGGGTCAGGATCCGAAACGTCTGGCTGATAAGGCTCTTTCTCCAACGATCGTGTCTCCGTCTTCGCCTCTGCTCCCTGGAACTCACCTAATAGAGATCAGTTTGCCCGGGCTTTAAAATCACCTTATAGTCGAGCGTAAGGGACGTCAAATTTAGCGGAGCCAATTTGGATTTTTTCAGCAAACTTGGCATTGAAAATTCACAAGCATGGAAAAAATAATGAGAGGATGATGCTTCCGTCCAAAACCCGAGATTTTCTGATCATGGAAAACTCAAACGCAGTTAGAACTTGGAAATTGTCAAAAACGCCGTTGTCAAGTCGAAGAAAAAGCATGTCACAATCTGTTATGCAGCCGTTCTGGAAACAACATTAAAGAGTTAAAATGCTCGGGAGTTTGGGTGGTTCGCCCCTGTGACTGTGAATAAAAACGCAAACGCGTAATAACCAATTACGACGCAGCCAGAAGTGGAAGTTTGCACCAGAATTGTCTTTAATCGGTTAATTTCCATAATTCATATGTCGGGCAAATATAGTTAAAGTGGTGGGCCGCAATTAAAGTCTTAGATGTCAGACTTCGAAGTGCAAGCCTCATGCTGGTCTTCAAATACAAATGCGCCCATCCCAGGGAATTAGTTCTTATTCTGACTAATTCGATTGCAGCCTGTCCGTATACAGTGTTTGGCAGCTAAATTCATCCTGTTCGAGAGAATTGGAAGGACATTTAAGTAGTTCTTGGGGGAGTTTTGTACAACACAAAGCATATAACATGGTTTTATTCAATTAAGCGTGCTTGGGGTCTTCGCTTGGTGAGAAAATGCTTTAGGTCTGCGAAACGGATGGATTTTAGCCAGTACCTCATTCCGCGCATGACAGGGCTGGAATCGAAGCACTTTAGTTCGCCTAGTGCTTCACTCTCCTCCCTAGATGCTTTCGCTAACGAATGGAAACTTGTCAATATGTGGACTTCTTCGACGCACAGACAGTTTTCATTACAGCTTAGGTTAGCAAAAGTAAGAGGTGCGGGTCGATAATATGAGGAAAATGAAGTGCTCACCGGATCGAGAGACTTGGTTGGCTGACGTTTCATAGAGCTGGGACGGCTCTCCATTACCA